GCACGCGTGAGGAAGAGGCGGCGGCGGCAGGCCTTGTTTATGTCCCTCCCGGCGTCGTTACGCTGAGATGCTTCCCCCGGAGACCGGCCGAGCCGTGGCCTTGGGCTGAATTAGCGGTGCTTGGGCGCCGGGTGGCCCGAGAAGACCCCGCGCTTTGGGAACTGGGGTGTAGTTTACTTCCAGAGCACTTCTGCACGGCCTGCCGTGAGGGCTAAAGCGCAGGTGTTTTGGTTCAGACTTCGGTTTTCTTGAGGGTGTGCAGAGCACCTTAGCAAGGACCGGGCCCACAGGGATGAGGGCGCTTCACGGTGGGGCAGCCTCCTGTCACAGAGCTGGTGTTTTCAGGCCCCCACCTTTATAAATCAGATGACCTCCGGGAAGTCTGGGCTCACCTGGCTTCACGTGACTGTTAAGTTCGCACTTTTTGAAAGCTTTATCTTGTAATCTATTTAGAGGCATCTGTGGTCTCCCTTTTCTATTAAAGTTCTCCTTTTACTTAAGGCAGGGGAAGGTATTGCAGTGTGCCAGTTCAAGCCTGTCTGCAGTCTTCTGATAGCTCTCCAGTAACTGGAGTTCTGAATAGGGAAGTTTCTCCTTGCCTTGAAAAAGATGCCTGTGCTTGCTTTTCTTCTTTTGCAAGCAAAACAGATGGGGCAGGGAAAGGTCAGGATTGCAGTTGAGAGTAATAACCATTCATTACCTCTTTGTTAACAATCTTTTCAGATGAAGTTGGGGCTCTTGTTTTTGACATTGGCTCGTATACGGTGAGAGCAGGCTATGCAGGCGAGGACTGTCCAAAGGTGAGAATCTGTGTGACTCAATGGAGATGCAACATGAATTTATGCCTTAAGTCTTGTTTGTTAGTTATGAATTTTCAGAATACCCTGGTCTTTGTTCTGACTGTGTTGTATAACGAAAGCTCTGAATTTATGAGAAAACCCACCCAAGAATTAATAATTCTCATACACTGCTTACCTTTTGCATTGCAGGTTGATTTTCCAACAGCCATTGGTGTGGTGCTAGAGAGGGACAATGGCAGCACTCTGATGGAGATAGATGGTGACAAAGGCAAACAAGGGGGCCCGACTTACTACATAGACACCAATGCCCTGAGAGTTCCAAGGGAAAATATGGAGGCCATTTCACCTTTAAAAAATGGAATGAGTATGATGCTCTGTCTTTTTCTACCTGTTTTTAAAACAACATTGCTAGGCTGCAAAAAGTCGTAGCTTTCATGTAAACAGATGCTGTGTATGGTGGCAACAGAAGCTGTAAGAACAGATACCTGATTTACAAATTGCGTAAAGTCTAGTTGTTTTACACTGTTGGTGGAATTTTGGCATAATTGTTGAAATGCTATGATCGTGATGATTACAGAGGGTGAGAATTCTGCAAAGCTATGAGAGGATGTGTATGTCTGCTGAGGATAGCTTTTGACTAAAGAGCTTTACACAAAAAAAGCATTGGAAAACCTTTATGTATTTATGAAATGGAACAGAACTTAGAAGTAACTAATCTGCTCACTTCGATGTTGTTACAGTTGAAGACTGGGATAGTTTCCAGGCAATTTTGGATCACACTTACAAGATGCATATTAAATCTGAAGCAAGTTTACATCCCGTCCTTATGTCCGAAGCACCGGTGAGTAGAAGCAGCTTTGCATTTTGATAAGTCTTAACCGTATCTTCTTGTTGACTCTACAAATATTACTCTTGGACAAGTCTGACATTGGCTTGTAGGTTATGAGTGTTAAAACTTAGCTACAGAAATAACAATTTTAAAGTACTTTGCTAGGTTCTGGAAAGTAATCTGTTTAAGAAAAACATCTAAAGAAAACAATTTGAAATAGTTTGTATGAGTTGCATTAGAAAGTGTTTACTGTTTACTATTGCTTTTCACTTAACAAAAAGGAGTCAAAACTAAAAAAAAAAATTAAAATCTCACTTTACTGCATAGAACAAAAGCAAAAAGACAGTTGGATGTCTATTATGTTTCTTAAACTTAAAATGCCATTGAAAATCTGTCGCTTCATTCAGCTTTACAACTAATATTGCATGACAGAACAGTATTTATAATGGAGAAGTGTTATTTTTTTCTGCCTTCATTTCTGTAAATGGTTATGTAAGGTAAGTGAAGTGGATGAATACAAACCTCTGGGAAAATATGTGGACAAGGTCTCTGTTAATTAATAATGCTCAGCATTTGAAGGGCAGATTGTAAAGTCAGGGTACAGAAGGTAGACATGCCATACAATAGTTATGCTTTTCTTAATAAAATCTTATAAAAACAATTTTTCTTTTTCATTATTCCCTTATGTTGAATTGTAGATTGTGGAGGATGGGTGAATTTGCAATGGTTAGTTCATGTTTGACAGCTCAGTGGGTGTCTGAGTAGAGGTTCCCATTAAAATTCTCCTTACAGAACTAATCTTACTTTGATGTATTGGCTTGGAAAAAACTTAATGTTTTCAGTAATGTGTAGAATATTTGATATATATCCTGGCTTAATCCCAAGTACAGTAGAACTGTAGGAAGATACCTTGGAAACAAGAAAATCTGCGTTTATTTTTCAACTGGGCAAGTTATTTCATGTATCTTTCCCCTCATGTTACTTGTTGTAGAGGGTTCCTTTGAGAGGCTGATGTTGGAAGAGCTGTAGAACTGTAAAGAAATCTTTATTGTAACAGTAAAAGTGTATATAACTTTTAATAGTATGATAGATAAGCAGTAATGTTTTGTTGCAGAATCAGAATAAAAATGGTTCCAAGAAGTAAATTACTAGAAATCTGTCTATAGAATTGTGATATGATTTGAAACAGTGGCTATAATAATTCTACTTACTTCTTTATTATGTTAGCATTGTTCTAGTGTGCTCTAATGATCCTCAAGGTAAATACATCTTCCTCTTGGTCACTTATTTGTGGTTTGGTTTATTTTTCTTTTTTTCTAGTGGAATACTAGAGCAAAGCGTGAAAAACTGACTGAATTGATGTTTGAACACTACAACATCCCTGCCTTTTTCTTGTGTAAAACAGCTGTTCTAACAGCGTATCCTTTGGAATGCTTCACAGCTTTTTTTTTCCCTGCTGCCCTTCCTCCCCCCCAGGAAATGACAGTAAACTTATTCTAGGTAATTCCTAGTATAACAGTGTGTCTAACTTTTCTTCTTTCAAATTAATTTTTCCATAAACATCTAAAGAGGAAGTAAACAAATTCCATTTCTGAACTTTAAAGCTTTAGAGCTCAGTTTTTAAGTTCTCCCATCTGACTGTGTTTTCCTTGGAGGTGATGTCTTTTTGCGGGGGTTGGGTTTTTTGTTTTGGTTTTTTGTCTTTTAATTTTTTTTCCAATTGTGTACACGGGTAAGAATGTTACAGACCTGAAATTGTGTTGTCCAGACTGCTAAATAAAGTAATTAGAGCTTGAAGTTCCCATAGCCTTAAGATTAATATTTATAATTATTTTAAACTAATAACATGTTTTCCGCTTCAGAGTCTAAATGACTTGGATGTAATTAGTTTGCTGCATTGTATTGGTGTGAAGTCTCGCGTTTGTACATCCAAAGTTCAAGTTAGTTCACAGATAGAAGTTAAATGCTGTTCCCTCTGGGAGGTTGTGCATGTCATAGAACAAAGATATGCACTGGAAAATGGCAAATCCTTTTGTAGACCCAAGGAATAACACGTCGGGGTCCTCATTCCTAGTTGTGCTCTGATTGTATGGCAACATTTTTTTACTGAAGTGAAAATTACAATATTTTCCTTGATCATTTTGGCTAGTTTTGCTAATGGGAGATCTACAGGCCTCATCTTGGATAGCGGAGCAACACACACCACTGCTATTCCAGTGCACGATGGATATGTACTTCAGCAAGGTAAAAATTTTCATGGGCAACAGCATTGCAGTATCAAGGTTGAGTTAGTTTTCTTTCTGCTTTTACACAGATTTAAAAACAACAAAACTGTATCCTCTTAAATATGAAAAAACACCCTAATGGTGTTCACTGATGAATAGTTTGTTGGGAGAGTTTATTTGTGGTTTCAGTGCTTTCTAGGTTGGTGCGGGGAGGAGTTTGGTTTTCGGTTCTGGTTTTTTGTTATTGTTGGGGTTGGGTTTTTTGTTTGTCTTCTAGGTATTGTAAAATCACCACTTGCAGGAGACTTTATTACTATGCAGTGCCGGGAGTTGTTTCAGGAAATGAACATAGAGATAATTCCTCCATATATGATTGCTTCAAAGGTGGGAAAGTAACTTTATTTAGTAAGTGTTTGCCTGGGGAGAGGTTTAAGTGATTGACTGGTGATCGTGTTTCCTACAATCTCAGGAAGCAGTTCGTGAGGGGTCGCCAGCGAATTGGAAGAGAAAAGAGAAGTTACCTCAGGTCACTAGGTCCTGGCACAACTACATGTGTAATGTAAGTAGGTCATTTCTCCCACTCTCAAACTTCCCTAGGCGTCCCTTAAAGAAGTTTTGTTTGCAAGTATATCAGGTTTTCCTCTTGAACTAGAAAATCTTTAAAAAGTCAGTATCAGTTCTATAAATGTTGTCAAATTGAAGACTGAAATACTTATAACCATATTATTCTTAACTCCATAGTGTGTCATTCAGGACTTCCAAGCTTCTGTCCTCCAAGTATCAGACTCAACCTATGATGAACAGTATGTCACTGTTTTCCTTCTTATAAAATTAATTTATCAGTTGTGCATGGGGTGCTTAGCCTGTTCATTGCTGTTGGCTGGTTTTATATCAGAAGTTTTTAGATAAAAACTATTTATTTCTGAAAGCAGAAATACAGTGTATATCCAGGGGATAGTTTTTTATTTACTATTCCAAGATGCATGAGATGATAATAAATATTATCAAAAGTGTAAGTCAGATCAATCACAGTATTCCTGTTGAAACCTTAGTTTATAATGCTACTTAGGTAACTTAAAGTGCAACGTAAACAGGATGTTAATGTGTTACTTTCCAACTGTTGCTCCAGGGTAGCAGCCCAGATGCCAACGGTTCATTACGAGTTCCCCAACGGCTATAACTGTGACTTTGGTGCTGAGCGTCTAAAAATTCCTGAGGGATTGTTTGACCCTTCTAATGTGAAGGTAAAACAACTGTGATACGTCGTAATTGGAAGGCTTTAAATTACTAGATTATCACATGACTTCCTTTTGTATGATGTTCTTAATTTCAGGATTTGTTTGTGTGTATTTACATTATGTGGTTCTCTTGAGGGTAGAATTTGCCTGTGTTGTATTACGGTTGGGCAAGCGACGGATGAAATGTAGTTCAAAATGGGTGGTGATGAGCTGAAGGGGGAAACGGTATTTTTTTTTTTCCTTCCCTAAAAACTGCTTAGGTTCCTCTCTAGTAATACTTGTGAATTCAACTCATTCAGGGCTTTTACATGCCTTGCTCTTTTTGAAGTGATGATGTGTAGATTACTAATTTTAATTCTAGGGTTTATCTGGTAACACGATGTTGGGTGTGAGCCACGTTGTCACAACAAGCGTTGGAATGTGTGATATAGACATCAGGCCGGTAAGTGTTAGTCAGACATGTATTATTTTGAGGCATAGATATTTTTGTGCTGATAAAATTTTTTTGGACTAGAACACTGTTGATGAAGAATTCTTGATTTCCTATGATAATAACAAACACATTAGAATAATTCTCAAAGTATCACGTATTTGTATATAGGAATATGTACAACTACTGTTTTGTCTTGCAAAATGCTAAATCAGGATTTTTTTTTTTTACTTTCACTCGGTGTTGCTACCTATATTTAAATAGCTACTGCCCAGATTTTGTGGCTGGCACTGCATAATGTGCATTGGATTTGCTTCAGATGAGCATTTTATGTTCATAGCTTTGAGTGTTATCTTCAGATTTTTCAGTGTGGCAGATACACTTTCTAAACATAACCAATCATGTGGAACTTTTGTAGAGAGTAGAAGGAAGAAAAGAGGTTCTAAAGGGAAACTTTCTTTTTAAAACTATGTTCTTAATTTTCTCAGGTGTCAATTTGAAAATATTCAAGTTTGATACGGACTGCATGGGGGCTGCTTCAGAAGTTTTTCCTCTTAACTGGCGTGTCAGGCAGGCTGAGTAGGCCAGGCTGTGGTTTGTGTTCGCCAACTGTGGCATTAGTGAGACTGCAAACTTGCAGTGCTGTGGGGTTTTCCTTTGTGGCTGGAACATCCAGCTGTAAGAAAACGAACAGTTTGGATACAGGAGATACCTGTAGGTGTAGGGTTCTCTGTAGTAGAAAATATTCTGTGGAATCATTTAGAATCATGAATCGTGTAGCTTCTGTCTTCCTTCTATAGTTTCATACTAAGATGTGTTGAAGTATTTTCCATGTGATAAAAGAATTAATTGGATTGGAATAAGTAATACTGCTGGCATCAAGTGATGTATTTTGCCGTGGATTACATGTATTAGCGTGCCATTCCTCCCTGTTCTGTGAAATGGTTGTTTTCAGAATGATTTCAGAGTTAATATTGTAGGTTGCTTATTCTCTTTTTTAGGGCCTTTATGGCAGCGTGATTGTAGCAGGAGGAAACACTCTAATACAGAGTTTCACAGACAGATTGAACAGAGAGCTGTCTCAGAAAACGCCACCGGTAAAACAACTCTTTAAATTACAGCCTTGCGTTACTTATCTCTTTGCTTTTCTGCCACATGAATACACAAGCATAGCTTTGGCTCTGTTAGGAACCCAACAGCTGAAGAGATTTCTGTGGGTAAGAAATGTCCTCCTTCTCTAAAGAAAAGAAAGAAGTCTTGAAAAGTTCTTCTGTGAAATGCATTCCAGCAGATGTTATTACTGCTGAGTGTTTTACTTCTCCATTCCTGCTTTCAGATTTTGATTCTAAGTTTTGTAATTGTCCCTAAGCAACAGTCACCATTTCTCTTGATGGCCTCTCCTCTGAAGTGTTGCTGACTAACTTGAGGCACATTCAGTCATTCTGCGTGAGGTCTCGTGTTTGTCATGGGAATTTTTCTTCCTGGATTCTATAGGCAACTCAACCTACTCATAGATAAAACCTGGCAATTAAAACACTTGCTTTTTTTTTTTTTTTAATCACTTGATGTCAAAGAAATGTTAGACATTTTAAGCAGTCCCGTGTTAGAGATGACAAGACATACTGTGAGTTTTGTAGCTCTCTACCTGCCCTGTTTCTAGCCTTACGTGTTTGCTGCTGCTCCCTGTTGGGGGACAAGATAAAAGCCACCCACGTTCTGTTCCACTATGGCTATTCTTGAATTCTAAGGACAGGGCAGATGAGTGTTATTGCGAGTTTAAGAAAATTGACCTTTTTCACCTGCATGTTGGTATATACACCAAGTTCCTTGTGCTGTCCTTCTCTTGTCCCTAACGGTCACCAGCCTACAATTTGTCTCATTCTTCTTTCCTTTTATCTCCTCTTCTATTAGAGCATGCGCCTGAAGTTGATAGCGAACAACACGACAGTGGAGCGGAGGTTCAGCTCGTGGATCGGTGGTTCAATTCTGGCTTCTTTGGTTAGTACACCTGCATTACTGTGGTGCTGTGCTGAGCAGCACTGTCACCCAACATCTAATGCCACCTAAGTGTGCATGGCAGAGTTTGTGCTACTGTAGCAATCATAATCTTGTCTGTCCTTGTGCTAAAGTGAAGAGAAGCTACCTAAAAAACAGGACAACATGAGCATTTCCAATCAAAAAAATAACTTGCTAGTCTCCCGTTTCTAATGGCAAGGTGCAGGCTTGAAATACAGTGTCTAGAAATGACACGCATGTAGTACACCATGAAAGCAGCAAACCCGTTTCTGCTTCATATTGCTGAGCTTCATTCTACAAGTTACTCGGTACTGAAATGGTTTGTGAGGATTCATTTAGCGGTATGAGAAATGGAGACTGGAATCAGCTTTCAGTACTGCAGAGTTTTCAGCACTGCAGCTTCCTGTCTTTAATCACTAGCAATATAAAATTCAAAGGAAAAGACAGTTAAGCATGTCAAATCTTCCTACCTCATTTAATGTAAAGAGTCACTTGTTTTTCCTCAGAGGAAAAGCTAATCGTGTTTCAGTTAACCTTCATTTATTTTCTGATTATTTTTGTGTGGTGTTGTTTTTGGTTTTTGTAGGGTACTTTTCAACAGATGTGGATTTCTAAACAAGAATATGAAGAAGGAGGGAAACAGTGCGTAGAAAGAAAATGTCCTTAAACCTCTTACTGTGAAAACTGCTGCCTGCTCAGTGCTCCTTCTGTTTTATAGCTTTAGCATACTCAGGAATGGGATGGACTCTTTTTTTGTAGAAAGTTTATATTGGATTTTTTGCATAATTCAAGTTCCATTTTAACAAAACTTAGAAATTTTGAGAGACCTAATTGGTACTATCATAGAAAAAGGATGTTTACATCCCTTGTAAAGCAATAATTCATGTAACAAGCATTTTATAATTTTGTATAAATATCTATTTTCTCTAGTATCTTTTCCTGGGAACAGCTTTACAGGTTAGCTAAGAGATAGAGGCATAACCTTGCAAATGTCCGTGCAAATTTATTAAAAATCTCTTGTCTACTTTCACATATTAGTCTTCCTTGCTGGTACTTTGGCCTTAAATTGCTCTTATTTACTCTTAAAAAATAAAATTTGGTCTTTTGTATTTGAGCAGCTTTGTGACTACTTGCAGAGAAAGTTACTCTTCTGTTTTAAAAAGTGGAAAGTTTGTGTTTAGTAATCTACTATAAGTGGCTCAGTTCAGTGTAAGCTTTGACTGTCATGAAAGCGTTACATTCCTCACAGCGAACGTTATATTAAGCACTGGTTTGCTAATTTTCTATTATGGAGCAATTTCGTTTCAGTAATCAGTGCTTTCCACCGGATTTCTAAGAATGTATATACTGCCTTTGTGATGTAGGCGAGAAGCAAAAGTTGTTCGAGCCAGGGAAGTTAAGGCAAAGAATTGTCTCTCCAAGACTAGAGTAGTCGTAGAAGTCCTCAGGATGTGGCTTCACCTTTTTACGGGGAGCTGTAACTCACAGGGTGGTCACTGCTTGTTTGTTGCTGGTAGAGCTCCCTCGACTCACAGCAGGGGCGGTCAGTGCCTGGACTTTGCACAGGGAGCGTGCACTCAGGGTCAGAGGAAGC